GTTGTATTTTCATGTAAGTTTAACAACACCTTCCCTTCGGTACACGTGTTTTCGTTAATGTTGTCACAGACACTACGTCTCAGAATATGTTCCAATGAACAATTATTTTCCATAGTATACTTATGCTGCACATAACCCTTCTTTATACGTCTTTCGCTATTATCGCATCTCTCACCGTTGACTGGCAAAAACTGCCGGTAATTATTCTCAATATTCAAACCAGATCGCCATGACTGTATCCACTCTTCCTCACACACGTCCGCTCAGAAGTCTGTGCGATACAATATAGGTAGCGCACTGACTTCTATACCATTAAATAATCTTAATGAACGGTTCTCGAACCACGATGTTTTACAAACGAATCCCATGCTGCCTACACCATTACTGATTACACAATACATTTTTCCTTCCATATCAAGAACTCTGCAGATCGTCGCTTCCCCCACTCTCATCTTCCTCCTCCTACAATTATTTTCACCCTACTCATACCCCACTCCTCCAAATCATATAAATTCCCACATCTTCTATTCCTTCAGCAGAATACTTCTCTTGAAAATGTCAACATGTATTACTACATCATTTTCAAAGATACAACGTTACAAACTACCACGGCACCCTTCACCATTTTCCAAAAGTATGCTTGGAAAACTTCAGATGCAATGGTGACAACATGGACCGTTTGGAGCAAAAAAAGACCAGTTAATTATTGTCAGCAGATAGAAGATTACATCCGTAATGTAAATGCGGAAGGGGCGGCACCGTACATACGTCACATACGGAATTTTAAATATTAAACATTTCTATAGTACTTCATAAAATAAGTTAGTTAAATAAATTTCTCTGGTCAACACAAAATATGCTAACTGCGTTGGAATGCTCTTAAACTGTTTTCATAATAGGTGTTATCTAATCTGTTTGTGACACTATTCATTTACTTCAGTATGATATCCTGTAACGTAATTCTATTGCAATTATCAGTTTACCTCCATGCCATACTGCCTGTGGCAGTCGCCAACTAGATCGAGGAGTAGGTCAATTGCTGTTGTCGACCTCATTCCTGCTCACAGAACAATCTATTCACCGTAAAGCAATAATTCCTGCCAAATAAATTACTCTCCAGAGAGTAGTAAATGTTTATAAATGTGTATATTAGATAATTTTTGTACGTTCGTTTTGATTATTATGTACACGAATNATAAAGGACATGTCCCGTTTACTTTCGCAACAACTTTCTAAAACTGGACATCGCAAATTCTTATGCGACGGTTGCCTCCAACACTTCTCCACTTTTTTGTGAAAGCTATGAATAAGAATGGTGCAGGCTTTCAATATCTCAAAATAAAATTTCCTCGAATCAGTGACGCGAAATTGAAAGAAGGGATTTTTGTAGGTCCGCAAATACGAGAGCTTATGACGGATGCAGTTTTCAATTCGAAGTTGAACAAAGCTGAAAAAAAAGCTTGGGTGGCTATCGTAAACGTATGTCATAATTTTCTTGATAGTACAAAAGCTGACAACTACCGACAAATCATTGGAGGGCTTTCTGCTTATAAAGCTTTAGGATGCAATATGTCACTTAAATTTCATTTTTTGGGCTCGCATTTAGATTTCTTTCCGGAAAATCTCGGTGACGTATCAGATGAACATGGTGAAGGGTTTCATCAGGAAATTATGCATATTGAAAGACGCTACAACGGAAAATGGTCAGAGGCAATGCTTGCTGATTTTTGTTGGTCGATTCGCCGAGAAACTTCGATGGAAACGATGAAAAGAAAAAAAACAACAAAATAACTTGAAGTATACTACTATAATGAGATAAATATACTGATATTTCCATCACTTGTGACTATAAAATTAGCATTTTTCGCTGTAAAACTTTGACCGTAGACTTTTTGCACTTTTTTGTAATTATTGTTACTTTGATAATATCGTTTTATAATTAAAAGGGTATTATGTTTAAAAACTATGTGCTATATTTATTTGCATGTTAAATTCCGTGTTTAGAGCACCAAATATGATGTTATCATACATGAAAACAACGAGGGAAGAAAATTTTTTTTGCAGACCAGTGTAACATATAACTGAATTACACATCGTCATTCCTTCAAGAGAAAATTATTAAATAAAATCATCTTTCAATACAATCATTTATTTTATATTACTATATTTACAATATTAATTAAATATGTTCAACAATTGTGTTTGCAATTCATTTAACTTCTGCTCCACCTCTTCCACTCTCTTTCTACCTTCCACCACCATTCTACAGCTGCTTTCACGACTTTTCTTCAGATCCTCCAACTCTTTCTCTTTCCGCTTTATTTGTTCCAAAACTGAAGCGTCCTTCATGTCATGGTCCTTTATTTCACCTTCCCGTTTTCGCTTCTCCCGTTGAAGTGTCTTCACTGCTTCTCGCACCTGCTCCACCAGCTTTGAATAATCCAGCGGACCGCTCGATACTCTTCTATTGTATGTCCGCTTCTTAGGCTTCATACTTACGGATTTACCGCCCCCTACCGGCGTACGCGATGTACTAGCCACAGGTACTGCTATCCTTTCCGTTGCTACATCTGCTACACATGATTTTTCTCCACCGACTGTCTTCGTCACCAACTCATCGTTGTGGAAGAACTCTTCCAGCATCGCTGACAGCTCCGATTCGTCCAAGCTAATCACTGACGCATCTGCCGCATCACACTGTCCTAATTCAGCCATTTCACTTATTCTTTTCCTCTATACATGCCTCTTAAATATCTTCAAACCACCCCACCACCCTCACCTACTTTATTTTCTCCCACTCCTTCATATTTTTTACATTGTTAAATCTACTTCGCACACGGTCTTCCTCAGTCTTTCTCGAGACACCTCTGTTACATCTAACCGATATGATTCGTTGTCCCGACTGCGATACGTCCTTTACGCGATCTGATAATTTAAAACGACATCAGAAAGCTTCGTGTCGTAAACGAGTACAGTACCATCCTAATTCCTCGCTACCGAATAAAAAACCGAAATGTGCTACATCTGCCACCTCTTCCGACCGCTGGTGTGAAACGTGTAAAATATATGTTCCTCAATCTTCGTACAACGGTCACCTGCGCACCCTACAGCATAAACAAAATTGTTGTTCACCTCTTGAGGAGGGAATCGGTTTCCTTTCCTCTGCTTTCGCTAGCAGGATTGCTTCGTTTCGTATTACGTCTGCGAAATACCTTCTATCGTATAACGACTTCTTCACCGATGTTCTCGACAAATGCGTGCGTGTTATACGTAATCAGATCCACCTCCACGACACGCTTAAAATAAATCTCGAAGTTTTTGGACGTTACGTGCACGAAACCAAACAGTTGGTTGAAATTAAATCCTTCAACACCAACAACAAAGTTGTGACTCGATCCATCGATCTTCCCAATCTTCTACAAAACTTCTTTGAGATACTTGAGGCTAAAGCGTCAGAATTTCAAGAACGAGAGTCAGGTAACTCATCCTTCTTTAGTATACGTTTCATTTCATTTAACATTTCCCCATTTCTACAGGATGGATTTTAGAAAGGGTTCTTTTCCTTGAAATCAACTTTAACAAGTACAATCCGCTGAGAGCGTCTTCCTACATTCCGTTACCGAAACAAATTTTACTCTAGAAAGCGGTTGTGAATGTGCGAAACGACGATCAGGCCTGCTTCGCATGAGCAATTACGTCAGCTCTGTATCCCGCACAAGCGAACCGGCAAAGAACTACTTCCTATCCTATGAAATTAACTGACATACCGAAATTTGAATCGAAGAACCATTGCTCTGTGAATGTCTACGGTCATGAATCCGTTTCGAAAGATGGAAAGTGGATATGGGAAATCGTTAGCCCCCTTTACTACTCATCCATCAAGCGAC